ACTCACACAGAGACCCACATACTCACACAGAATAGACCCATAGACTCACACAGAGACCCATAGACTCACACAGAGACCCATAGACTCACACAGAGACACAGAGACTCACACAGAGTCCCACATACTCACACAGAAGAGACCCATAGACTCACACAGAAGAGACCCATAGACTCACACAGAGACCCATAGACTTACACAGAGACCCATAGACTCACACAGAGACCCATAGACTCACACAGAGACCCACATACTCACACAGAAGAGACCCATAGACTCACGCAGAGACCCATAGACTCAAACAGAGACCCATAGACTCACGCAGAGACCCATAGACTCAAACAGAGACCCATAGGCTCACACAGAGACACATAGACTCACACAACGACCCATAGACTCACACAGAGGCCCATAGACTCACACAGAGACCCACATACTCACACAGAGACCCACAGGCTCACACAGAGACCAATAGACTCACACAGAGACCCATAGACTCACACAGAGACCCATAGACTCACACAGAGTCCCATAGACTCACACAGAGACCCATAGACTCACACAGAGACCCATAGACTCACACAGAGACCCATAGACTCAAACGTAGACCCATAGGCTCACACAGAGACCCATAGACTCACACAGAGACCCATAGACTTAGACAGAGATTCATAAACTCACACAGAGACCCATATACTCACACAGAGACCCATAGACTCACACAGAGACCCATATACTCACACAGAGACCCATAGACTCACACACAGACCCATGGACTCACACAGAGACCCATAGACTCACACACAGACCCATAGACTCACACAGAGACCCATAGACTCAAACAGAGACCCATAGGCTCACACAGAGACCCATAGACTCAAACAGAGACCCATAGACTCACACAGAGACCCATAGACTCACACAGAGACCCATAGACTCACACAGAGACCCATAGACTCACAGAGACCCATAGACTCACACAGAGACACATAGACTCACACAGAGATCTATAATTTGTTGTCCTTTCCCCGCACCTTCGATTCACACGGTTGACTACGTACGGCGTGAACGAAGTTCAACATACATACATGTTTTATTTAAACGTGCATCACTCCGGTGGCTTCCTGCAAACGTGCACGCGTCAATAAATACGTGCGAACATGCGTTACCTACGTGTACCGGGTGGTCCAGTGTGTACAGACTACACCAGGGTTCGGGAACCTTTTTGACTGGGAGAGCCATAAAAGCCAAATATTTCTAAATATATTTCATTGAGAGCCATATAGTATTTTTTACGTTTAATAAATTAAAAATGTCTTACTTTTAATGCGACTTCTGCTGCTGCGTGGTTTTGCTGATGGCTTTGTAGTCTGGTTCATACGTGGTGAGGTTGAGCTTCACGCAGGCGTTGAGGCCCCGTGACCCGTGAAATGTATCTTCAAAACTAATTTCTGTTTACTTTAAAATGACACAGTATTATTAAGTAATATCACAAGTATTTTAAAATCAGTTCCAAACTGATTTATTTTTTATTTTTTATTTTTTTTTCAACTCAAAATTGTCTGGGAGCCATATGCCGTCACTGGAAGAGCCATATATGGCTCGTGAGCCATAGGTTCCCGACCGCTGGCCTACACACTTGTGTGTGTACGATATTACACTTACACGTGAATGTGTACACTCACAGTGATTGATGAATGTGTGAATGTGCGGGACACAACAGATAAGGGCCAGCTATGTGTCTTGACAACAGGAGTTGTTAACACAAAGCCTGTGTTTGCCTACACATAGCAACCAAGTGCAAACACGTGTATATCCAGTTAAGCCTGGCCCCAACTCCGAACCCCAGACATACATTCTTCTGGTTAACCATAGACAGACTTGCCCTCTAAGACTAACCTCAACCCTGAACATAGACCTAACCCCAGCGCTAACCCCTAACTCTATACCTAACCCTGACATTGCCCCAAACTCCAGACTTAGACCTCACCCTAAACACTCACCAAACACCCAACCCTTAACCTGAACCCCCAACCCTCACTATATAACCTGAACCCCCAACCCTCGCTATAAAACCGAAACCTGACCTCCAGCCATATTCATGAGCACTGACCTAACCTTAACACTATACACTAACTCCGATCACCAAAACGCGAACCTCTACCCAGTATTCCTACTTTAACCCCCATGCCTAGAAGTAAACCCAAATACAAAGTCGTGCCCTAACAACTATGCCCTACAAATAACCCCTAGCCTTGACTCCTAAACCTATGGTGGCAGGGAGTCGGTGTGTGTGTGTGTACGCGTGGTATGTGTTTGTATTGTGCGGTAATTCAACTGCATGCTGCAGTAGTTAATGTTTACAAATCATAAAACGAGTGTCGTGAATGCAGGTGAACAGTTCAGAGAAATGCGAGTACAGTATGGTGATGTGTGCACAGTATACAGTGTGCACAGTATGCGGCATATGAACAGTATGCAATGTACACGGATAAGAATTACA